ATAAATTTTTAAATTTTTAATTGAGTTTTAATTAAATAAAATGTTTAAAGTTGAGATTCTAATTTATTTTGAGAGTGAAATTGATATACACTTTTTTTTCCATATAGGACTAAACAATTTCTTGTCTTTTCCCATATAAGCTTAGCTGAGATATTATTGGTAGATAATTGATCAACACTGAATAATAGTTCAATTGAGATTGTGAGATAATAAACCTTGTTTGAAAAAAGACTTGTTACCTAACTAGGTTTAAGAGTTAGGTATCATTTAAAAATTTCTTTCACGAGCTATATAAGTTATGAAAAATGATATATGCCGTGATTTTTAAGTTGCAAATTAGATAACGAACTAAGTGGTTCCTTTCATAATCTGTTGACATGTATTTCTATATAATAATAATAATAATCCAATTTCTAAAAGTATCTGCATCGTGCCCATTTCTTTCTTTCTTGAATAGTTCCCAAATCCTCCTCGTCTCCTTCCCTATTGGCTCCCTTTCTACCAAACTCTAACTAACCAAATAAAATTCGAATCACTCTCTCCTTCTCAATCCCTAATAAGCTAAGATACAGTAAACTTCAATGGAGCGAGACATGGTTTATGTCCCTTTGATTTCCATTCAACTGATTTGCTCACTAAGGAAGGGATTGACTTTTGGTGCTGTTCTATTGGCAAGACAACCGTGAAATCAATTTCAAACTGAATAGAAAACTTAAATCAATTAAGCCATGGAACTTATCCAGTTGATGCCAGATTCCGTGAGGATGGTAGAGTTGCAAATTAGTTCTCTAAATTGGTACACTGAATAGAGAACATAGGAAGAAAAATGCAAAGAAAAGGGATTAGGGGTGATGCAGAAATCTTTTAAAAATAGAGAATTGCTTTTTAGTATTATATAAAAATACAAGTCAGCATACTGCTCGTGACAAGCCACGTAATTCACAATTTAAAAATAGCTGCATATATCATTTTTCATATGTTAGACTTAGACATAAAAAAATAGTTCTTTCAAAATTTTAATAAGCGAATGCTGAATGCATTATAACAGATAACCTACACAATTAATCAAAATGATATATTCTGGAGCAATTAAGATAAATACTAATAGATCATATAACAAGATAGCTATAAACACACATCTGACTTTGTAAGCCACTTGGTAATAATGTGTATCACCCAGTTTATGGGGTTGGGTTAAATCCCCTTTCCCCCAAAAATTGTCCTTGAGAAAAAAGAAAAACAAGATAATTATAAACAGATACTACAATTAAAATTTATTCACCTGTTATATATGTTAGAACCATAACATCATTTATATATTTAATAAATATAACATGAATAGCCAACTCCTTTTAAAAT